TTACAAGGGAGTCGTTACCGGCTAAATATCAGGAGAAACTTCCTAACTTTAAGAGTGGTTGAGCAGTGGAACAGACTGCTTCGGTAGGTGGTGGATGCTCCTTCGCTGGACGTTTTTAAGCAGAGGCTGGACGACCATCTTTCGGGTATGTTGTAGGGCTATCTTTCGGCTACGCTCCTGCAGAGTGCAGGGGGTTAGACTAGATGACCTGCAAGATCCCTTCCAGCTCTAACATTCTATGATTCTATGATTTTATATAGATATAGATGAGGCATTCTTTGGGTTTAAGTTTTCAGGTTTTTTTACATGGTGACTTTTAACTCAGTGTATTTGGGAGCACTGTGGAAAGAGCACTGTGCAGGGACAGCATGTCGAAATGGTTGGAAATATCACAGATTTGAAGCTGGTGGCCAAATCAGACTGGAGATTTGTGTCATACCATAGATTTTGTAGGTGGATCTTTGGTTAAGGCACACAGTGAAATTGATTGAGTACACATAATACCTGGTTCGAATGGTAGAGAGGAGGGCATAGCATTGTATGCAGTCTTAGGCTTGGTCTTAGGACTTCAGATAGCAAGTGATGGGAAAGATTCTTTTCCTGAGACCTTACAGAGACACTGCTGGTTGGAGTAGGCAATACTGCATGGGCCAGGTTGGCCTCATATTTTGAGTGCTAGAAAAATCCTTATCTGACAAAATGGAGAGCCACTGCCGCTCAAGAGGACAGGACTGATAAAGCAAAGGTCTGATTTATGAGACAGCAAAAATGAAATAGGAGCTGCGGTGGCTCAGTGGTTAAGACGCTGAACTGCAGACCGGAAGGTCCGTAGTTCAGTAGTCCGAGACCCGAGTGCTGCATGATGGAGTGAGCTCCCATCTCTGGCCCCAGTTCCTGCCAGCCTAGCAGTTTGATAAATAGGTACCGCTTTGGTGGGAAGGTAACAGCGTTCCATGCGCTTTGGCATCTAGTCATGCTGGCGACATGACCATGGAAACGTCTTTGGCTTGGAAACCGAGATGAGCACCGCCCCCTAGAGTCGGATTCAACTGGCTTTCGAGGAAGGGAAACCTTTACCTTTACTAAAAATGAAACAGAAGCCCAGTATCACCTTAAAGGCGAACAGTGTTGATTCCAGCATGAGATTTCCTGAGTCAGAGCTCACATCTTCAGATGCTATGGAAGGGCATCACTTTGGAGTATTTTATAAGGGAAATCTCGGGGGAGGGAGCAGAGAGAAATTTTATATATACCCTGTCATAAATCTTTCTGGTGTGATTCCCTGTGCAAGGGGCTAGAACAGATGTGGTTGTTACCAATGATGATTGAGGTCAGAGGTTCCAACCTCTCATGGGGTACAAATAAACAGATTATAATGTATTAGGATAAATATGACCAATCAGAAAGAAACAGTCTTGAAAGATAAGAAAAATTAATTATACATCATGTTAAGAGCTAAAGTCTCTGAAAAGTGTGTCCTGTTGAGGTTATTAGTCTCTGTTAGGCCAGGAAAAGGGAGTGTCAACTTCATCCCCCTGGGCACTGAGGCAGGACTGTGACTGCACCTAATGACATCAGCAAAACCACCTAGGGCAGGGGTGTCAAACTCATTTGTTACGAGGGCCGGATATGACATAAATGTCACTTTGGCGGGCTGGGCCACGTGTGCCATAAAATGTAATACCAGCTACTGGAGATATAAACTGTATAAAAGACAGCACCTGGTAAGCTCCAAGGTGGTGTATCCTCACTGCAGGGCCCCATGGACTGGGAGGGGGTGCAAAGGAAAACCCACCTACCCCACAGGGTGTCTGTTGTGGGGAGGGGAAGGGAAAGGAGTTTGTAAGCCGCTCTGAGACACCTTTGGGTAGTGAAGGGCGGGGTATAAATCCAATCTCCTCCTCCTCCTCCTCCTCCTCCTCCTCCTCCTCTTCTTCTTCTTCTTCTTCTTCTTCTTCTTCTTCTTCTTCTTCACGTGTGGACTGGAGAGCCAGCGGTGAAGCACTGGGCAGACGCTCTCACGTGCTTGACTGCTGCAGATGAGGTTGTTCCGCTGTGCTGAAGCCACAGAGTGGCTCCCTCCACTCCCCCCGAGCAGTCTTCTCTTCCCTCCTTTGCACTAGTTGTTCGCGGGCTGCATAAGAGCCATGGATGGGCCGGTTCTGGCCCCCGGAACTTATTTTTGACACCTCTGACCTAGGGCTCATCTACTTGTACGCCATCTAGGTTAACGTATGCAATCATGTGCCAACAGTGCGCTTCTGCTACCTACATTGGACAAACAGGCTGGTCCTTTTTTATATATATATAAAGGTTTTATTGACTCTCCTAAAAAGTAGAGGTATTTTGCTTAAAATAGAAAAATTGGGAGGGTATATAGTGGGAGAAAGAGAAAGCTGAGTGATATATTAACTGGTAAATTAAACTGTTAGTAATGTCCAATCTGTGATCCTTGCGCTAATGTGTCTCTTCGCAAAAAAAACAGGCTTTGAGAATGGTTATATCCTTTTACTATTTCTCAACGTTTAGTTTATCGCTGCCATTCTCACCCGCAACTTTCCACATCTAGGCACATTTTTATGCTTCTCACCGCTCAGTTCAAAGTCACAGTCTTTCACAGTTTGAATTAGTAACTGCGCCATCACCGGAAGTTCCTCCATTCTTCCTTGCTAGCTTCTTCACCCAGCACCGACATCTTACTTTTTTGTTTATCTTTAGCAAAGACTTATGTTTCTTCATCAGAGCTTAACTCTTTCCACTTTTACACTTAATCTGCCATCCGTTCTCCCCCCCTATTTTTTTTCACTAAGAATCGAGAATGAGGACATCCCCTCACTCTCTCACATCATTTCGCTGGGGGGGGGGGAGCCCACTCGGAAAGTTCTTACAGTTCATTCAAAGTTAAGATCATCTCGCTCTTTCGCTTAGACCACCAAAGGGTTTTTCTTCCAATTTTAGTTTTCCCCCCTCCCCTTTTCTCCGCCAGGATCGCTTTAAACGTAAGTTTAAACGAAAGTAGAAGGATCGTCTCCCTCTCTCATATCTTATCGTTGGGGGTCGGGGGACACGCTTATTTCTTTTTCGTTACGATTGACAACTCACAGTTCCAGCCGCTCTTTTTCTGTTTCATCGCCTTTTCACTTTCTCGCTTCATCACTCGGTAACGTCCGTAGGTTCCGCTAATCCCCGTGCGGGGCCGCTCACGCAGCGAGGTCCATAGGGGCAGGGCATGGCGAGAGCCTCAATTTCCGACCGCTTGGCCGAGAAAGAGGCTCCCCCCTAGTGCGCCCTAACGCGCCCCCGGATCCGAGCTCCTCTCCCTGAGGTGCTCGTTCGGGTCTCCGCTTGCGCGGATTCCCTCCTCCACCGCGGGCGGGCGAGACGCCCTCGGGAGCGACCCGAGGATGCGTCCGCCATTCGCGGGAGCCAAACCGGAAGCCCAAACAGGCTGGTCCTTAAGTAAAATGAACACAAATCTGACATGAAAAATCAAAACATTGAGAAATCAGTGTGAGAAGCATTTGTATTTAATCATAGAACCACAGAGTTGGAAGAGGCCATACAGGCCATCTAGTCCAACCCCCTGCTCAATGCAGGATCAGCCTAGAGCAGTGGTGGCGAACCTATGGCATGGGTGCCAGAGGTGGCACTCAGAGCCCTCTCTGTGGGCACGCGTGCCATCGCCCCAACCAGGCCCAGACCATCATTAAAGTGTCAAATTCTCTGCCAAATAATTTTAAGTAAATGAATGCATTTGGGATTGCTTTCCTTACTTTGTTTGGATCATCTTAAGTTAATGTATGAGTTGCTTTTTCTAAAGTAAAACCTCAGTATTCAGGTTAAATTGCCGTGTTGGCACTTTGCGATAAACTGCTTTGGGTCGCAGTTTGGGGCCTCGGTCTCTAAAAGATTCGCCATCACTGGCCTAGAGCATCCCTGACAAGTGTTTGTTCAGCCGCTGCTTCAAGACTGCCAGTGAGGGGGAGCTCACCACCTCCCTAGGCAGCTGATTCCACTGCTGCACAACTCTTATGGTAAAAAGGTTTTCCCTAATATCCAACCAGTACCTTCCCACCCTTAATTTAAACCCATGATTGCAAGTCCTGTCCTCTGCTGCCAACAGAAACAGCTCCCTGCCCTCCTCTAAGTGACAGTCCTTCAAACACAAAGAGAGCGATCATATCCCCCCCACAAACTCCTCTTCTCCGGACTGACTAAACATTCCCATAGAATCATAGAGTTGGAAGGTACCTGGGTCATCTAGTCCAACCTCCTGCACAATGCAGGAAATTCACAACTACCTCCCCCCCTGCACCCCCAGTGACCCCTGCTCCATTGTATATGGGGACAATGGGAACCACACCTGAAAGATTTCTGAAAGGATTCACCCCAAGCCTCTGTCTGCTTGAACTCTTCCCCTTTCCCACTTCTGAGATTTTTCCTTATAACTATCCCCAACACAATTTCCTTCCATAGCCTCTGAAGAAATGAGCTCTGACTAATGAAAGATCATGCTGGGATAAGTGGATACCACTGGACTTCTGTTTTATTTTGCTGCAATAGATTAGCATCCTTTTGGAGTTACTAGAAAACACCTTCATATGGTGAGGACCAATGGTCTAGAGTAATTTCAAGTTACCTACTTATGCTCTTGTAGGTGTTTAGCAGGACAGATGAAAATAAGTGCTTTTTTCCACACAATGTATAAGGAACATTTGGAAATCACTTGTGGAAGGCGGCATGAACAAGCATTCTTTCATGCTTAAGGGCCAGTTCTGTCATTTTTCTCTCTGAAAACTTGGCTTCTGGAATGGTACAAATAAAAAGGGGCATCAGGGAGCAATCCTGAGCAGGTCTACTCATAAGCAAATCCCATTTTGTTCCATGGGGCTTACTTTCAGGAATTTTTGGTATTAATTTAAACATGCATCCAGGAAGCATGGATGGTTTGTTGTTGTTCTTAATAACCCTCTTTTCCTACTCACCTTCTTGTCCCAAAGGTAAGAATGATGGTTCGATTGGAGGACGGCAATACTTCAAGTGCAATCCAGGCTATGGCCTCCTTGTGAAACCAAGTAGGGTAAAAAGAGCCACGGGGCCTGCAAGACGTCGAAGCGCCGGCCTGAGACTGCAAGGTGGAGTCACACCTGAGAACCGGAAGAGTGGCAATTTGTCTGGGTCAGCCTCCAACTTGGCTTCTCTGACTGCCTTGGCCAAAACTGAAGGAGGATCCACTTTACGGCCTGAAAAGACCCAGAAGAATACAGAAAACAGGAAATCATGGGCGACATGAAAGAGGCCTGTTTGGAACCACACTACGTTGTTGAAACTGACACTTTGGAATGGCCTTACTTGCACAGCTAAGCCAACCCAGGAGATTACCAGCACAGGGCAGAGTCATTGGGTGGGGTGGGGACGGATTCTCTGCTAGAGTCCTTGAGGTATGATAAATCCTTGGCCTTTTTTGTGATGAGGGAGTCAAGTTGAGATTCCTGATGCAAACGTTGGCACTTCTATTCCTGCTTTTACCGAGTCTTTCCCCAAAACACACTACACATGTATGCACACAGGCAACAAATCAGTGAGTGTGCTTCAAGGGAAAGCTGTTTGCTATATTGATTGCATCTGTTTCCAGCTCTTCTGAGAGATTGTGGACATTGGGATAACTTCTAGAACAGAAGCCAAATGAACTTTCTGTTGGCTGCTAGAGAGCTGTTGACAAAAGGCTCACCCTTGAAGCACACTAAAGCCTACGACCAGCACGTGAGGGAGGGCCTGCTAGAAATGATGCCTGTCGCTTTTGCGGTTGGCTTCTGGTGTTTCACTGTTCCTGTTGAAGTCCATGGGAAGGCATTGCTCTTCACTCTGATGGAATGAGGGACTGGGGCCAGTTCACCAAATCGGTAGCTTTTAGGATGCTAAAACTTTTTAAAAACATATCTTTAATTTCATGGTGGTCTTAAGTGATTTTAACTTTTTGTATTTTAAAGAGAGAAGCAGGAAGGAATCTGCTTTCCTCTCATCTGGAATCCTGGATTTTTTGTATTAATTTAAACATGCCAGCATGCCGTCTGGTGCTACTGTATTTATAAAGATGGTTCCCAGTTACTGGTCTAAGTTTTGGTCAGAGTAGCTCCTAACACTGATGTCCTGGTATGGCCATCCTTCCTTGCATTCTGGGTTTTAACGTGTTTGTAAAGCAGATGCTTATTCCTTTTCCCAATACTATGGTATTTATTTGTTATTTATTGCCATTTTTAAAATAATAATAAAGCCCTTGCGACTTTACAATCAATCCACTGCCTACCATTTGCACAGAAGGTGCATAGTCCTGTTCCGGGTACCCCCAAATTATTTGCATGCACTCACCCATCTTCCTGCCTAGTGAATCTGTGTCTTTGTGCTCCTTTGTACACTTCTTCAAGATGGAATCTTTCCTTGGAAGATGTGGCTGTACTTGGCCCGCGGAAGCTGAGAACAGTCTGCTGTCCACATGCAGTAGTGTGCCATGGAGTTGTTAAATTTCCACTTTTGCTGCCTGTTTGGAACTGCAAAAACAGAGGAAATTTGTGTAGCCCATGGCAGTCCACCATGTGTGGCCGGTGGATGGTGATCCGCTTGGTGAGTCACAAAGACTGACACTTGTCCATGAAGACTGGCAAATCTGAAGTTTGGCCAAGGACATTACAAAAACTTTGAGCCAGTTCTGATAGAAGCTTCTACAGCAGGTGTGTGTGTGTGTTTCCCCCCAGGAGCATCTCCTGCAAATGTGTGCTTGTGCAAATATATGAAGCGATCTCACCCAGGCAACTCGCTGCTGGCTAGAATCCCTCCACAACTTGTGGAATGATGCTGTCATGGTCCGTATTTGTAAATGTATATGGTCAGAAGAATGTGACAGAGCAGCCTTGCTGAAGTTATGCAGGTTTGGATCTGGTCAGTGTCTGGATGGGAGACTTCCCTGGAACCCTGTGTACCCTGCCTTGACCTCTGTGATGGAGGAAAGGCTGGACAGAATAAGCAAACATAAGCCTTTGCACAAATAGTTGCCAGGATCTGGGCTACCTCTTGATTTGGTAAGCATGAATGGCATGTGTTACCTTTGATCCACTACAGATGTTCGAGTTCTGTAAGTGATTTTTTTAAAGGCCTGTGGTATTGATAGTTGGACTTTGATGCTGATCCACTCTCTTCCTTGCTGTGCAGGTGTGTACCCAAGTGCCTTGCCCATCCGGCCCCAAGGGTTGGGACAAAAGCTTCTGGATCTTAGGTGGTTGAGTGAGGGAGCTGCTGCTGCTGATTAACTCTTAATGTGTAATATTATGCAAATGGAACAGATATTAACACAATAACTTATTTATATAAGAACCACATGGGTCAGAAATGTTTTGGTCTTTCAAAATGGTCATGTGCTCTTGCCCCCTTCAATTGTTATCTGGTTTTTTCCCCTTAAAGGTAAAGGTTCCCTTGCTCGAAAGCCAGTCGAATCCGACTCTAGGGTTGCGGTGCTCATCTCCGTTTCAAAGCCGAAGAGCCAGCGCTGTCCGAAGACGTTTCCGTGGTCATGTGGCCAGCATGACTAGACACCAAGGCGCACGGAACGCTGTTACCTTCCCACCGAAGTGGTACCTATTTATCTACTCGCAATTTCTTGCTTTCGAACTGCTAGGTTGGCAGGAGCTGGAACTAGAGACAGGAGCTCATCCCGTCTTGCGGCACCCGTGTCTTGAACTGCTGAACTACTGACCTTCCACAGCCTGCAGTTCAGCGTCTTAACCACTTGAGCCACCACAGCACACCCCTTAGGCAGTGTTAATAAACTGTATTTGGGGCATAAAACACTGCTGCAGCTAAGAGAAGCAAGGAAATCAGCAACTAAATCTCAGCCTGGGAAATGGAGGGTGGGGAGGTTAGAGGTAAATATCTAGGAGAAAATAAATCCCTCCCCTCTTGAAAGAATATATACCCCGGAAGACTCGTTGGTCTTTAAAGTGCTGCTGGACTCAAATCTAGCTCTCCTGTTGCCGAACGACCACAGCTACCCACCCGAAACACAAGCACACACCAACATACAAGGGCTATTTGTCTACTGCAGTTGCTTACCATTGGGATTTTTGTATGGTGTTTACAAAATGTGGATTCAAAGTTTCTGATTGTCTTTTAATAAAATAAGTTTGTAGCCGCCTGGTTGGGCAGAACTTTGAAACTACAGATCATGGTCCCTATCCAAAGAGAGCTTGTCACACTAGGCCTGTGGGAAATGAGGGGATTTAAATTAGTTGTAACTTCATGAGAACTCAAGATCTGCACTTAAGTGGAGATTTCCGTGCTCCTGTGTCTCCACACCCTTGAGTGTGATCACAGCCAAGAACCCCTCTGCCCTCTCTGTGCTTATATATTAGATGGGGGGAGGGGGGAGGGCGGGACGAGGTACAAACATTTTCTCATTGTTGCTGTCGTTCAATACCAACAGTTCAGTACAACCTTTAACTACCTTAATGTTAACTACCTATTTGCATGTATGCATGTGTGGGCAGTCCCTGATCAGCAGGTAGCATTGCTGTACTGGTCTTTCTTGTGCTGTGGTTTTTGCAAGATTATCATGCACTTTACATAAGAAGACTCAAGGGCCCGTTCTACAAGAGCTGTAGGCCACAGTCTACCGCTCCTATAGACAAGCATGCTCAGAATAGTCCCCTTCTCTTATACCCCACCTTTTTATTGTATATTTCATTGAACAACTAAACTACAAACTACTTAAGTATGGTTTGAAAGAGTACAAAAGGAAAAAGTTTTGAAAGTGGCTTGCTCAAGAAACATGAGCTAGAAGCCTGTTTGAGAAGATGGAGTCTGCACGGTTTTCTGTCGTCTTTACAATAAGATATGCATGTGCCCTTTAAAAAAAAGATTAGTCACTTTTTAAAATCCATTAGATGTATTCCTCAGCAAGTAAAGTTCTTGAAAAGTGTGTTTGATGGGCTTTTCCATGTTCATGAAAAGGAGAGACAAATGTTAAATCACTGTGATTCCCATTTATTTGTACATAGATCAGATTTTGTAAGATTGCTGTGTTGTAGTAGCTGTGTCTTCATGAAATCTTACTGACTTTCTTTGGAAGTATAAAGCAAAGACTTCCCACTTTCAACATATCTTCTTGTTCTCAACTGACTAAAAGGCTATCACTCTGTTCTTAACTTTATATCAAAATTCACATACTTTAAAATGCAGTATATAATTGAAAACGTGTCTGTTTTGGATAACAACTGAAGTTGCTCTTTTTACACAACATTTTGCTTCAAATTTTATAAAGAAAAAGCTTTTATGGCTGAATTGAGGGTGGTATGCCTTTCCTCGGAACTGATGCTGACCTATCCTGTGAATTTACTGTTGGTTTCTTTCAGTCAAGTCACTATTCCTTCAATAGTGCCTTCTCGCTCAGTCCAAGTTTTCCCATTACATCTTCTGCATTGCAGCCACTTTAGATCCCATCAAATGCCAGTTGCTACTTCATGGGAAACCATTTTGCACAACACTTCACCGTGTAGTTCAGTAGATTTTCTCTTTGTCATCATAAACTGACTACAGGAAAAAATTACTCTGGAAAAAAAAATGAGCATGTGGTGAGACGCTGCAGACAACTTGTCATGCCGGCAGCAGCTACACAGAGCAATTTACAGCAGTCTCTACATATCTGTAACAAGAAACGAAAGATATGTAATACCTTTTATTAGGGCCAACTAAAATGACACAAAACTTTTAAGTTCTTGATCTGGAAAATCTACTTCTTCCTTTAAAAAAAATTGGGTAATGCGTAGCCTGGTGAGTTCTGATGAGCTGGAAAGGCTTGCATAATGTTTTCTATCATCTTGCTTGTCCCTAATAAAAGATATTACATGGATTTAGCTTCTTGTTCCACATATCTAAACCACTCCCTGGAGTCTTAGAACCAGACTCTGGCCCTTTGTATACCAGCCATGTGCTGAGGCAACTGCAAAAGTGTTTTCGCTCAAGTAGGCTGGCTAGTAGAGCAGGGGTGCCACATTGTTCAGAAGGGGGGGGGGGAGAGCTTTCATTAGAAGCATAGTTCTAAACCCCATTGTTATATTCATGATGCAGTTGCAAAAGTACTGCTTGCTACTTTTTCAAACCTCATAACTTTAGCAATGTTATCAATACAGTCAGTCACTTTTTTAAATGGAAAGGAACTTGCAACTTTGGCATATTCGTGTAGTCCACAAATCAGTTTTAAATATTTATGCTGCTAGTTGCTGCTTGCCAGTGTGTAAAACCAGTGGGTTGACAATTGCTACAACAACTCTTGAGGGGTTCCTCTGCTCTGATGCTTGAAACGTAACAGTAGTATGCTAATACTACAAAATCTGACACTTTTTCATAGCAATTGTAGCACCCACATTTTTTCATCATCAATTTCTGCATCCTTTAGAGATCTCCAGTTTCCTATGGAAGCTGAGACCAGAATGCCTTATCCAAGATGGTGGTGCCAGTTGCACTACCCATTTGGGTATGGCTGTACATGCACAGTAAGGTACTCACTTGCTCAGCTTGGGTTTTTTTTATGATACTTTGCAGGATCTGTGAGCAGGTGGGTCGGGCCCTGACTTTGAAGTTCAACCCAAAGTTAGCGCTCCAAGGAAACTTTGGCTCATTCCGTTCTTGCCCATCCTCCACACTAAAAAACTGAAGAGAAGAGCTTGCAAATACAGCACTAGGCATGGTTACTGAAATTACCTTTCTATTAGTTACTGTCTGACACTAATAAAACCAATTTGGGGGGGGGAGCCTTTTGAAAGTTGGCTTTTCTGTTGATTTTGTTTGATTTTTGTGATTTGTTTTGTAAAGATAGGGAGATTGTATATAAAGGATGACAGTTTAGATTGTGGTATTAAAGTATTGTTGATCATACTGTTTTAATGTGCTAAGATCCAAAGATTCTTGTAATGAATTGTAAAGTTTTTAACAATCTCTTGTATTATACTTAATAACTGTAATATTGTATCATACCTGTGACATGATCTATGTTACCTAAATAAATTCTTTAGGCTATAAGCCTCTTTTCATTTCTTAGACTTGTTTCCTGATCACAACTTTGTAGAATTGCTATATTCAGTCAGCCAAGAAGTGACCCCCAATGTGCTTCAAAAAACCCTCAAACACAACCACCACAGGCAAGGCTGTGTCTTTAAAAAGATAGTGTATGTAGGAGTCCCAAACAGAAGCAGCAGCAGCAAGTAACTAGACTGGGGCTAAATCGCGTTCCCCTCATAACTGGAAAAGTGATTCCTCTAGTTTTCTGGGTTTCTGCTATTTCAGCCAGCATTTGCTCATACACTTTTCACCTCCATGCCTTAAGGGCCAGAAACTTGCTCAGTAAAAGAAAAAAGAAAACAGTGTTGTAAGGAGCTGGGTTCCATACTTTTGTGAAACTGGGGTACATATATACCACACCTCTTGCCTATATTGTGTCCTGAACGTATTACATTTTTCAGTGGTCCTGGTAGTCATACTTGACAGAGCACCTCACCTTGGTTGGCACTACATTTATGCCTCCCCCCTCCCCCCAGTACAGTGTTGAAGCACATACAGTTCAAAGACAGCGTAGTTCACTTTCCTCAGGTGAGGAAAAAGCCTATTCATGCCCTGCTTCCAGACTGGGCTGTTTGTGTTCTTGAGGCACAAGTCATGAGTGTCATTGTGGCCTTTGCCCCTACCCCCTGGCAGGGAAGAAGCCAGCCTTGGTTCAAACTGGCAGACAAACTTCTTTTTCACCTGTGTACAGAGCAAAGAAGCTGTGTCGGCCTAGCTTCTATGTCCCAGAATGCTGCTTGGAGGCTGCTGCCCTGATGGCACCCAGGAGGAGCCCATGTGCTGGCAGTTATAAAGTGCTGAGGCACTGAAGAGCCTTCATGAGGCCCCTTCTTTTCATATGCCATTCTTACTTCAGCGTTGCCGCCAGGAGTGTGGTAGCTCCTGTCAGTTTTTCCCCCTCACACAGCTGCAGTGCAAATCCATTGGAGAAGACAGTTGCTGCTTCCTTTCTCCTAAGCCAACAGCACCTTTTGCCCCTGTGAGGTGCTGGGTAGACCTACAGTAAAGAGCAGCATTGACATCCAGCCTCTGAGGTACTGGAAGTGCCACACACACACCCCACACCCAGAGAAAGCTGCTTCTATGTTGCCTGGCCTGGCCTGGCCAGAGCAGCATGGGGAGAACAGGCCTCACAATCTCAGGTACATGATTAAATTCAGGGTTCCCCATCCTATACCATGAGCTTCCCCCCCAGTAGGGTTG